CAGCAACTGCTCAGATGCCAAAGAATATCTTGAGATGATTTGTAGAGATTTATCAGACGAACTGGTACAATTTGATTTAAGGAAGGAACAAGAACTGAGACAGGTTTTCCTTGATCTTGCTGCTGGACAAATGGAGAAAAATGAGAAAGTGAGTTTTTAATATTAAGAACTGTACATGATCCTCCATAGTAAATTTTCATGTATTATAATAATTTATTTATATATTGTATTTATTGTAGCTTCAAGGTAAATGGTATGCAATGAAGTGTTTATTGGACACACCAATCAAGCCATCACTTAGAGCAATACAGTTTGTCTCTAATAATAACACAACAACAACAACAACAACAACAACAACAACAACAACAGGAGGAGGAGGAGGAGGTGACAACAAGTGAAGGTAAGGGAGAGAGAGAATAATGGATCCTGAGAAGAGAGAGGGAGAGGATGAGATGGTCAAGAGGACATAATGTATTTATCTTCTTTTTGTTTTAGATTGTTTCTCCTTCAAGAAATGATTTCTGAAATGACAATTATAATGATTTATATTTAATATTTTAAATGTCAAATCACATGTATGGTTTTATGATTTATAATGAAAAATGTTCAGTGACAAAAGTATAATGATAAGTGATGGGTATAAGGTGATAGGTGATAAGGTATAGTGTGTAAAGAAATAAGTGACAAGCAGGATAAAAAAATCTTTTGTAAAATTTATCTCTAAATAAAAATTATGAGAGTAAAGCTAATTTAAATGTATATACTATATGTAGCTTACATTATTTCTTAGAACCAGTTGATATCTAGAGGAAGAGGAGGATCTTAAGTGTGTGTAATGATAAAGGCAATTAATGTACCTTATTGAAGGTAATTCGTACGGGCTCTATCTGATGAAAGAAATTGTTCCACTTCAGATTTTGCTTTTCCAAGCTGATCAGGATAATCTTCACAAATTTGCAGAATTTTTCTCCAAGTCACTTCGCTATTGGAGTCTAACCATCTCTGGAACACTAGTATAAGATTACTAGTAGTTGATTGTGGATTGGGTAACAGGTCATCCACTTGAACATCCAGTGCAGCCCCAATAATCATGTAATGAGCATCAGAACTTTTAAATAGCCTGAGAAGATCACTTTTTTGTGGTTTCTTGTCTAACAAGTGGTCTGTATAAATCAAAAATAAAACTCCTAATACAGTATTAGATTAGTGTTAAGTATTCTTAAGATTTGTTGGTAAGGAAGTGTATTAATAATAATTAAAAATATCTTATAGAGAAAAGTTGACATAAACACATACTTGCTGATGAGTCTTCCTGTTCAATAGTTTCTGTAATGACAAATGATTTAAACCTCTTGTTAGATGAAGAACCATCCTGATCTTCATTTAGTTTCCTTTTCCTAGCCTCAACTATTGACGTAAAAATTAATAATTGCTTTAATATAAACATATCCAATTGATTGATTCACCTGTTTGAAACTGTATTTTGCTGCTTGTATTTTGTACTGAATTATTCATATCAGCAACCTATTAGCCACAAAATGTAAACAACAATCAAAAACTTTTTGATTACCTTCTTAGACCAGTACAAATGTTTCTCATCAAGTTTCATTACATTACCATTAGTACACTTAGCTCCTTCTGAACAATATTCTATTACAGCAGGATGAGGTACTGCAGTGCAAGTACATGGTACTCCAAACATATGCCTTGACTTGTAAGTGTAATGGAGTGATTGTGTCACTGTGACTAGTCCTTTGTGTAATGATGATAATACTTTATCACAAAGATCATTCAGTGAAGGACTCATTTGTTGTTGAACCCACACTTCAAGATAAGTAGCACGACTGATTAAGGTAACAGTATCATAGTGTTGACCAACTTGAAAGGTAATCCTGTTACGATATTGATCATTACCAGTTAACTCCCATTCCAATACTTGGTCTGTCTCCTGATCAAGAAGATACACTACTAGACAACAGAATACACCAACAGGAGTATACCCACACTCAAAACATATCAATAAAGGAGCTGGACTAACTGACCCATCTCTCACCTCTCTTTCTACATTTGCTGGTTTTAGAGCACAAGGCATAAAGTAATACTTGACAGTTTTTCTACCAACTTTATCTTTCATAGGGCTAGCTACAATATAAAGATGCTTCAGTAGTGCTACTAGTCTCTTTGTATTAAGAGGATCACCTTTCTCTCTTGATGACATCTCATCTAATTGTAACTCTGAAAAGCGTCCATTTTTACGAAACTCTCTCTCCACAGCAGCACTACCTGACTGTTTAAAAGTGAAGCATGTTGTGATGAGATTAGTGATACGATCAAAAAC